CTAGCAGGGGTCTAGAGAAGCTGGAAGCATATGGTTGGGATAAGCCAAACTCAGACCAGAGGGCATGTGAGGACACAAAATTCCTCAGGCAGAGGGGAGCCTAAGACAGCCCTGTCTGTTGCCTCTGCAGCCTGGATTGGAGGCACAGAGCTGGCTGGAGGCCACTTTGATCCACTGTGTCTTCCCTCTCCCCTTAGCTCCGTTTTATGTTTTACTTTAACCATTAAGAGTTTGGCAGAGGGAGTCCGGTGGTGATGATGCACGCCTTTAATCCCAGCACTCAGGAGCAGAGGCAGGCAGATCTCTGTGAGTTCGAGACCAGTCTAGTCTACAAGAGCGAGTTCCGGGACAGCCTCCAAAGCCACAGAGGAACCCTGTGTTGAAACAGAAAAAAAAAAAAACAAAAAAACAAAAAAAAAAACAAATAAACAAAACCAAACACACACATGAGTTTGGCAAAGGGAAATTTGAGAATTCTATCGAGGGGACAGGTGGAAACCCTAGTAAGAGTAAAGAATCAAAAAGTGGAACTTCTAATAGCTGGTGTGGTGGTGCACACCTGTATTCCCGACATTTGGGAGGCTGAGGCAGAAGGATTTTGAGTTCAAAGACAGCCTAGGCTAAAAAAAACAGCCTTTTTTATACCCCAAGGCAAGGCAAACGGGAAAAGAAGAAGTACTGATTTAGAAGAGAGTTAGGGATCAAGTTCTTAAGAGAGGGAAGCCTGTAGAGTGTCATGGGATAAATTACCTCAGGAGTTTGTCTGAGAGATGGTGTCATGTCGGGAAAGTTCTGGGTACTTGAACCTTGTCCCTCTGATGAGACTGGAAAGTCAGCCTCAGACTGTCTCCCAGAAAAAGAACCTTGGATCTGTGAGCAATAACTCCAGTAATATCACTTCCCTGGCTGTGCTGAGCCCCCACAGAAAATCTCCGAAATCCTTATCAAAAGCAGGTCCCAGAAGAAGGTTGCTGCACCCACAGCTCTATGATTTGATGGAACTAGGGGAATCTCTAGGGAAGGGTTTCTTGGGGGTAAGGAAGTGGCAGCTGCTTTAAGGACAGCACATGCTTTCCCAGAACTGCTGCTGGGAGACCTGTGTTCCCGGGACCCTGGCCATCGTCCCAGTGCAGTTCACAGAGGCTCTGAGGCTGACACCAGAGTCTAAAACCCAGTCTTGAAAAGGTTTGTTTTATAGCCATAGCAATTGACCTGCTAAAGCTTAAGGGCCTGCTGTGTTTGTGAGATCAAGGCTCCAGTGTCCCTGTTGGCATCAGTGAAGATTTAGTTGCAAAAGGGGCAAAAGGTTAGGGGCCAAAGCCCAAACAGGAAAGCCATTGTGAGGAATAGTCACTTTCTGCCCTTGCACCCTCTGGTGCGTGTTCCCCATTTATTGAACATGGTAGGGGAACAAGGGACAGTGAATGTTCCAGGACTCCCAAGACATTCATTCTCCCTGTGAATGACCTTATTCAACCAGCAGGAGCTGCTGCTGTCCTTCTAAACTCTAGGACCCAGGCACGGCAGAGCCAAGTTTGCCCTCTAGACATTTCCTTCTATAAGGTGACACTTGAGAAAGACCTGGAGGAGCTGAGTTTGGGAAGTGATTGAGTCAAGGGGGTAGAGCCCTTTGGATGGGATTAGTACCCTTAGAAGAGACCAAGGAGCTCACTTGCACACTGTTAGGAGGTACTGCCTGTGGGCCAGACAATGCCAACCAGATCCTTAATCTGCCTTGGTCTTGGCCCCAGTCTGCAGAACATTTGTGTTTAAAAGCCACCTAGGCTGTGCTGTTTGGATTTAGCAGCCCACAGACGGAATAGCTTTGACTTTCCCTCTAAGAGGGGGAGGAGCAGAGCAAAGACACTTCAGAGGAGCCTCTTCATGAAGGCTCTGGATACTTGTGAGACAGGGCTAGCAAGGTGTGGCAGACTCAAGGACCATGCACAGTGTCTGTGTTCGCAGTGTCAGAACCAGTTCAGGAATGGAGCTGACTCTGATCATTTTAGGAATAAACTACAGAGAATCAAGGAGAAACGGTTAGCTAAGTCTTGCTTCCTTCATTTTCTTTATCTTCTGATGGTTTCATGTCTATTTTTGGTCAGTTTTCTCATAGTTGTTTTTGAGAGAAGTATGATCCCAGCATATAGATGTTTAGAGACATTTGCCAGTTGATGTGGCCAGAGGTATGGTTCAGAGGAGCCTTTGGTATGGACTGTGTCTGGGACACACCTCTCAGGTACTGTGTTGATTTCTTAGCTACATAAAAAGTCACCACAGGGCAGCTGGAGACATGGCTCAGAGGTTAAGAGCACTGGCTGCTTTTCCAGAGGTCCTGAGTTCAATTCCCAGCAGCCACAAGGTGGCTCACAACCATTGTAGTGAGATCTGGTGCCTCTGCTGGTGTGCACATGTATATGCATGCAGAACTCTGTATACACAATAAATAAAAAATCTTTTTAAAAAAAGTCACCACAGATTCATATATTTAAGAAAACAAAATGACAATTTGTTTTTCCATTTCTTGGAGGCTGACTCTGATGGGCCTATGCTTCCTTTGAAGAACCTCAAAAAGAATGCTTGCTTTGCTCTTCCAGTTTGTAGACAAATCACTCAAGTCTCTACTTAGAGCACACATGACATTCTCCTTCTGCGTGTGACCTGTCTTCCCCATTGCCTTCTTTCAAGGATACTAGCTGGATTTAGAATCCACAATGGGATCAAATCTGTAGACTGTGTTTCTGATTAAGAGGGATTAGAACTGCAGGACACATTTGTGAAGGAGTTCACCTGCCAGCAGGTGCCTCGGTCTGAGTTGACAGGAGCTATTGGGTTAGTGGTTTTCTGTTGTTTGTTTATAGAATTGTCCATTAAATTTATTTAAACTGAAGATTTAAAGGGCTGGGTTTGATGGTACACACCTGTAACATCAGCAGGAGGATTACTATAAGTTCAGAGCCGGTCTAGGCTACATACTGAGTACCAGGATAACGCAGGTTACAAAGGGAGATCCTGCCTCTAAAACAAAAACTAGGACGGTGGTGACGCATACTTTTAATCCCAGCACTTGGGAAGCAGAGGCAGGTGAATCTCTGAGTTTGAGGCCAGCCTGATCTACAGAGTGAGTTCCAGGACAACCAGGGTTACACAGAGAAACCCTCTCTCAAAAATGAACTTAAAAAGCAAAACAAAACAAAAACTAACCAGACAATGAGATTTAAAGGGAGTTAAACTTACTTACATTATCTTTTAAAAAGATGATTAAAGGAAAAAATGCTGTGGGGTTAAAAAAGTGTTAATTCTGAGGATTATAACCTGCATTTGTTCAGAATTGGCTCTTGTGATGGTCTACATTTATGGTTTTGCCATCTGTGACCTCAGTTTGTCAGAGCAAAGGCAACAGACCCAGGTCCCTAAGCAGTAGCTGTGGCAGGGAGAGTCCTGCTTTCTCCACCAGCCCTGTCTGCACTTCCCACGAGGCTGGATCCAAGGTGCCCAGGTGGTATGTGGCTCTCCTGTGTGGGCACATTCTTCAGTGATGAGCCAGCAGTTATCAGTGTGTGCCTTTTAAACTCAGAAGTGAACTCCAAGGGTTGTTTATCAAAGGAAGTTCAATCCCATTTTATCACAGTGATAGGCTGTATCAGGGTTAGCAGTGTACTTAAGAAAAATTCCTTAGCAACAGTACACATTTGGGGCTGCTGAATTGTCACAGTCCTGGTGGTGTTTATGGTGCTCCTAGTGTTGTAAGGAAGTGGGTGCAAGTTGGCAGATAGGAGATGAGTCAGGGGACTGGGCTTTTCCTGCCTGAGGAGGGTTGACTGGATGGAAGGTCAGGCTGAAGGCAGGCTCACACAGGAGCTGGTACAGATTTGTTGCTTCTGCATGGTGAGCCTTGGAATGCATTGTTCCATAGCTATCTGGCCATGAGAGAGAAGTTTTAAGGCAGACACCTGCAGAGCGTACACCAGAGGTTTGATGCAAATGACCACCTTGTAGATGTGCTCCTTCACAGTCTGCACTTTCAGTTCCCAAGCAAGCCAGGGCCTATCAAGCATGTTGTGATATCCCTGGAAGCATGGTGATGTGTGGCCCACTTGCCCTCTGCCTTAGGCTTTCCCTGGGTCATGCAGGTGCTTTGGGTGAAGTGGAGAGGGCAGAAAGGAGGGCACTGGTGGCACCAAACCCCTGTGTGGCTTTTTTGGTCCTATGTACCCTAGAAGGGAGTGGTTCTGAGTATTCTTTGAAGACATGTATACTATTCCTCTAATGGGCACTTTCATGTCTGCTAAGTGGGAACATGGCCACAACTTTGTTCCCAGGGCAGAAGCCTGTGGTAAAGCCACCATACTTTTGGAATGAGCACAGGGCAAATAATGTCCACACATCATTTCCTTTGACTAATCTTTGTGGTCCCAGTCTTGGTTATGTCTTCTGAAAGTCATCATGTTTCTTTGTTGAAGTTGAGATTTTTAATTTAGGACCCAGATGGGACAGAAGGTGAGCTTCCATAAGCCTGCTTTACTAAACCATGTGTCATTGCTCTGGATTGTGGTGGCAGCAGATTCATTAGAAAAGCAGATTGCACCCTGACTCATCTGCCTGTCTGAGCTCTGCAGTCTTTTGGCTGCACTGGGCTCACCGGACAGTGTGTGCATAGTCTGCTCTACACACCAGGGGCTATGTGGGAAACCCTCAGAGACAGCCCATTGTGGGGCAGGAGCTATGTCCTGGAATTTTCTGGCCTTTATCTGATGTAACCTCGTGTACTTCCTTTTGGGGAAGGGTGCTGTGGCTTGCCCTCTACAGGACACATGTGCTTCCCGTACCAGACCAGGTCCTTGTGCTGCCTGAGGGGAGTGCTGTGGGCAGGTGAGCTTTCCTGTCTTTTATTTGGCAGAATACTTCTGGCACCACTGTCCAGGGAGGGTAGCAGAACCTGTGGCTGTAATGACGATGCCTGCTCACTCTGATCGTAACCCTTCTTTCTCATATTACAGCAGAAAAAGTCCTACCTGGAGCGGAGTGTTAAGGAAGCTGAGGACAACATCCGAGAGATGCTGATGGCACGAAGGGCGCAGTAGGAGCTGCTGGCAGAGTCCTCCCCTCCTGACCCCTTCCACCCTGTCAGGCAGGGGCTGTGTAGGGTGCTGGCCTCCCTTTGCCCCTCGGCCCCACCTGAATGTCTGCCACTCCTACCCAGGACACTGCTCTCTCTGGAGGCAAGCCAGGAGCTGCCAACAGGGGGAAGCCTGGAGGGCAGGTAGAGAAGGCTGCCCAAGCACATCACTAGGCATGTCGGTTAGACCAATAAAAGGCTGCGTTTTGCTCTGTGACATCTGCTTTTCTCCAGCTGAGGAGAGTGAGAGGCAAGCGTCTCCCTCAGCTCTTGTCCCTTTTCTCTTTGACAGGTAGCATATGGGCCTCCATGTAGTACACAGGAGGAAGAAGGACGCTGATAGGTGAACAGAGCCACAATTGGTTCAAGATCTTTCCTGTTTTCTCCCTAAATTCCTAAACCAAGTTCAATAGTAAGCAGCACCTCCAAGGCTCTGTCTCTTGTCTGGCCATGGTGGGCCAGTAGTCCTGCCTCCTAGCATCCCCAGGGTGGGCAGTAGTATTGGGGCTTACGCATTCTCATTGTGCAGTTTTTAAGAATTTCACTACAGGTCAGTTAAACAGTTACTGAAAACTGTAAGCTTAAGTATTTAGAACAAAAACAGTAAACATTCAGAACTCATTCCTTCCTATTGCCCCACACTTGGCCACTGCAGGGACTTGGGATGAGTTGCTGAGTCCAGGCAGGGTGTTACTGTTTGATGGTGGGCTTTGTGCCTCAATAAATTGGGAGTATTGATGCGATATATAATGACAAAAATTGTGGGTAGTTTCTCTGAGATGTGATCTCATCTAGCCCTGGCTAGCTTCATACTCACTGTTTAGCCAAAGGTAACTTTCACTTCCTAAGTGCTTCCTCCCACCCTCCTCCTGCTTCCAGCTGCCCTGGTGCTCTGAAGCCAAGGAAACTGACTTGTTTTTTTGACAGCTTAGCGACACCCTGTGGCCAAATTTGAGGTGAGCAGGTTGGTTAACTAGTTTAAAAGAGTGTGGAAGCAGAGAAGAACCTGTGACTGGACTCCTGGAGAACAACCCTGGGCAGCCAGTCAATCACCCAGAGGTCCCTTTCCCAGGGCCTGGGCAAAGAAGAGTCTGAGCTGTGTTGGTGAGTGCCCAAGTCTTTGAAGAGGTAGCTAGAATAGAATACAAGCTCCTCTTTATGAATGAACAGTGGTCACAACAGACCTTCTCACCTCTTACAAGCTCTGGTGGATGGGGTATGACAGAGTCCAGCCCCAGGGTGGTTTAAATTATCTGGAATAATTCAGACAGCAGGTTTTAGACGGATTTATTGAAACATACAGGGTGTGAGCAGAGAAATCTAGTGGTGTGTCACATATTGCCATTACCTTGAGTGTATAATTTAAACATTATAAATATATATCTCATAACTAAGCCTTTGGCCAAAAAAAGTAAAATTATTTAGCACATTTGTAAAGGATCAGTAAGAAATGACTTTTGAACATTAAAAAGATCAAGTCACTGAATTAAACAGCAGTAACCCTTACTAATCTAAAACTCCGACTGAAGGTAGAGGTGTCTGCGCAGAGCTAGCAATCAGAAGAGATGGGAGCAGGCGCACCTATCGGAGGTGGCACAGAGCAGCCAAGCAGGAGAGCTGGGCTCATCAGGTGAGCATGTCCCAGAGGCAGCAGCAACAGAGAGCAGTCCAGCAGGCCGTGAGGCAGGGGGATGTGCCCAGGTCATCTCTTCTTTGGTCTTCCACCACATACACTGGAGAGAGAAAAAGGGAAAGTAAGAAGGATCACTTAGGCCCTGCAGTTACCTCCAGGACCAGAGCAGAGGTGCTCTGCAGCCTGCTGCTCCTGCCCTTAAGGAAGCATAAAGGGTGGCTGAGCTCACCTGCTATTTCCTTGCCTTCCAGCACTCAAGAGGACAATATTCTTTCTCCTAGGAATGAATATTAGGTACACTACAGAATGACCCTAAGCCAAGGCAGTGAAGCTGGTGGATCCTACTCAACTGAGAAAACAGGAAGTTCTGTCCCCTGCTCTACAGAGGTTGTGGGAGGGGCACTCCTCCAAATTCAGCTAAGCCAAGCAGAATTCAAGCCTGTGCCTTAAAGGAATTGGGAATTAAAAACAAACAAGCAAAACTACACTGTAAAGCAAGCAGGGAGGGCAGCCAAGTCAAGTGAGGCAGGTGGGTGGAGGCCTTCAGAATGAGTTGGAAATCTGAGCCTATGCTGTGTACACACCAGTTTCTTTTTTCCTAGGGGCCTATTCTAAACAGTGGGTAGCAGTTGGGAGCTACTTCTTTAACCTTAAACAGTAAGGACTTCAAACTTGCAAAAAAAAAAAAAAAAAGGAATATGTGGATTTATGAATTAGACCAGTTCTCCTGCAGCTGGCCTTCAAGCTCTAGCCTGGCCACTGGAGCTGGTATAGGAGAGTCCCCTGCTTGCTAAGGGTCTGGCACAGATTTAATGCTAGCTCACTTGGCCCCACAGTCTCCATCCAACCCTCTACCTCTGAGGGACAGGGGAACCAATAGACCTTGAGCTTGCTCAGCTACATCAACACAAATACCAAATCCTGCTTCCTTCACAGCCTTCCTCTCCAGATCAGCCAAGGTCATTCCTGCCAGGTCTCATTTCACAAATTTCTGGAAACTTGGGGGCCTAGGGACTTCCAGCTCATTCCTTTCATACTGCTGTTAAAAGATACCCAAGGCACCCATTTCCAGAGGACAGAGTCTTCCAAAGCCCTTCTGACTCCCATCCCCCACACAGACTAGGAGGACAGGGATGAGGACAAGGTGGGGTCTACAGGTCTCCTACCTACGTCTTTCTTACTTTCAAGTTAACAAAAGCAGAAGTGGCCCAGAGCAAGTCTGAGGGAAGTCCTTCCAGAGCCTCGCAGCATGGCTGCGGGCCTAAAGATGGTAAATCTTGCAGCAGTGCCTCCTAGATACCCACCTGCTAATAGGGAAAGGCCTTGCATGCCCTACTGACTAGCAGGGCCTGGTCTCTGCCTCAGGATCTCTTCTACACCCAAAGGCTTCATGGCTCTGGCTTCTGGTGCCACTGCCCCTGTCACCTCTGTGAGGGAATCTGCCTCAGGATTCTCCCACCTTCCATTATCGAGTCAGTCATACAGCAGGTGCAGCAGTAGAAATGGCTCCAGCCCTGGTGTCCACACCTAGGACAGATGGATGTCCTGGCAACTGCCTTCTATAGCCAGAGCAGAGTATGTGCACTGCTGGGTACTTTTGTAAGTTGTGCTAGCTCTGTGGGATTCTGTGTGCCCCTCTCAGTCTCTCTTAAAAGAAGGAAGTAGGGGGCTTCGAGAACACTGTAGAGTTTGCTTAGTCTGAGATCATCCCTGGAGATGAAGTGTGCCCCCCACCCCGCCCCCATGGCCAGACTTGAGACAAAAGGCTAGGTTCTAGGACCTGTGCTTATATTCACATCAACCAAAGTACTAACCTCATTCATTGACTAGGGACAGAGATCCACCATTAGTAGGGATCTAGGCTCCTTTATTACCTTGCCACTTTTATTGAAACCATCCCTCTCCCTTTAACCAACTGTCAGTTTTCTCAACCTCAGCCTGGTGTGGAGTCTACTAAGGGACAGATACCTAGAACTTAACAATCTGGGTGCAAATGCAAAAGCTGGCAGTGGGGTAGGCCTAAAGACCCAGCAAGCTCAGAATGGTCAGAAGGGCCCCAGAGGCCGTGGGTGCAGAGCAAGTGTGGGAAGACTCCGACTGTTAAGGGAAGGACAGATACCCACTTCTTGCCTTTATACTAGAAGAAAGTAAACAGGCCATGTTAGGAGGTACAGAGTTTCCTGTGACCAAGTGTCTACTCACCAATCCCTGATGGACACTACACCAGAAGTCCTTGGTCCCAGGCTAGCTACGACCTTATAGGTGTCATTTACGAGGGCAGGCAGTACACAAGTAGGACAGGAATGAGTCACAAGAATGTGAGCAGAGGTCTTCTCAGGTGATATCCGCGTGACACCTGAAACTTCACTTGCTCTGCGCTGATCTTCTGAATGATTCATCAAAGGCTCTAGTGTGCTGTGGGTGTCCCCATGCACGCTTGTGAGTACAATCTGGACAGACTGACCTAAGAGTGTCACGGACAGGTGCAGTCTGCCACCATGCAGAGGTGCACAGTCTGCCACCCACGCAGAGTTCTGACACCACAGGCCTTTTCTACAAGGACCTTCAACAAGTGAGGCTACATCTTGAAGTGTTGTGTCCCAGACCAGTGACAGGCTAGGGTTGAGGAGTCCTCAACTGTAAGGACCACACAGCACCCCTGAGAAATGCCACCAGTGGAATCTCAGTTGCCGTCCCCATACATGAGGCATCTAGACAAACAGAAGGCAGCTAACTAGCCTAGCCTTCCAGAGGGGACAGGAGATGCCAGAATGCCTAGACCAAGAGGCAAGTAAAAGGAGAAATCCTTTTACTTTATAAATGAAAATACTAAGCATTTTCATTTTTAAATAGAACCTTAAGACATCACAGGATGGCTTGCACTCCTCATGTGGAAAGGGGAGGGGCTCTGCTCTGCCACACCTTTTGAGGATGTGCATGCCAGTGACATCATTGCTGTCAGCACAAAGGTGTCCTGTTGCTGACAATGTTCACAGGCACCTGCTTAGTCCCCAACAGCAGGCAAGTATGTAATGGAGGTGGGAATACGCATAGGAACAGTGACTGCAGTGGGACAGACCCAACTTCATCCCCAGGGCTCAGCTGGGCAGGTTAAATCTGTAATGTTTTCTCTGGACTCCAAAGGCTGAGGATGGGAGGCGTTAGGAGACCCTTTCACAACCTTCTTCCTCTCCCATAGGAAGGGCTTTGGCACAGCCCCAGTCAGGTTCTGTGACCACAGCTACCTTTGCCTGCTGAGTCTGGCTGTCCCCAGTCCGGCACCCTTGGAAGCTTCAGTTCTGGTCCCACGGTCTTTTCTATGAAACTGAATCATGAGAAAACAGGTCTCCTAAATTCCTATCCCAAGATACTCTGAGGTAGAACAGAGTGACAACTGAACAGGCAGCTCCCTACTGATCTGGGAGAGCAGTCAGGGTTCATGGACTGGTTTATAGGAGTGCTCACCTGGAGATGGGTCCTGTCCTCAGTCCCAATGAGTGCAGCTGCCACTACCCTGTCTGAGATGCCAAGGAAACAAACCTAGTGAACCCCTGGGTATTCAGGTGAGCCCCAAAGCAACCCCA